CTCCCCAGCAAGGTCTTCCTGTTTCAGTCCCTTACTGTGCTGTACTTCTGTCTCCAACATGTAATCACCTACAATCACTGGGATTGGGGCTATACTCTGGGATTTAAGCTCTATGAGGTTAGGGTACCCAACTGGTTTACTACCGAATCCCCAGTGCCCATCCCAGGGCTTGGCAGTAGAGTTTATTGGATAAACAGGAATTGCATTTTAAATTAATTTTAATACCAAGTCATATTTTGGTGACCCAAGAGCTGGGGAAACTCTTGTCCCCTCATTGGACACCCTGGGCCTGAACCCTGCAGTTTTATGATCATGGCAGCTTTCAAGTCCTTGATTCAACCAAGCATGTCACGTCTGGCTGCCAAAGGGAGCCAGAGTCTCACTGCTGACGCCTGCCCATCAGCACAGCTGCCTTCCTCCAGAGCCCCTGGAGGCATTTGATGTCCAATAATTCTCCACTGTGAGGGTTCCTGTGCCATGTAGGGGCTTCAGCATCATCCCTGGCCTCCACCCACGAGACCAGTAGCCCCTATTCTCCTGGCTGTGACACCCAAAGCTGTTTCCAGACACTGCTGAAGGTTCCTTGAGGGAAAAAAATCACCCTTGGCTGACAACTCCTACCCTACAAGGACGAGATTTTGGGAAGTTGCCATCCAAAAATGGACTGGACTTGTGGTCACCCATACTAGTGCCTTGCTGACAGAATAGGTCTCATCAGCTGGTTCTACCATTTTCACCCCATCGCAGGTTCTCCGGTTGCCCCATGGGGCTTGCAGTGGGAGCAGCAGGCAAGGGCTCCAATCCTCTTCAAACCACACCCTCGGTTCTGGGCCTTGTGAGTACAGCTTCACATTCTAGCATCCCAGCCTCCTGCCAGGTGCATTTTTTAAGGAAGATTATGATTCTAAAACCCATATGCCTATTATGATCACTTATTTTGGGTTACTGTATACCAAGCACTTTACACACCACAGGGCTGAATGGAATTTTACCCCTTGTAGACATAAGGAAGCAGAGGCTTAGAAACACAAAATGCTTGGTGGAAGTCCGGCTGCAAGGGTCAAACCCACAGGACTGTACTAGGAACGGAGTTTTGTCTGCAGCTCTGACTTCTCTGCTTTTCTGAGAACTCATAGCATTCCCGCCACCCAAGCCCCCGCTCCCTACAACATCCCTATTCCAGGGTTAGCAGTAACAAAACATTGAACGGTCTTACACAGTGGCTACTCACCAACCAAAGGGACCCAAAGGGACATGCCTTGGTGTCTGAGCAGGGACCTGGAGTACCCTGCAATCCCATCTGTCATCCTTTTAGATGCTAGATGGGAGGAGGTGTCAGGGATCTCAGAGGCCCGGTTGGCTAAGTTGTGGCACCTGGGCACTCACAGCAACTTCTATTTACCTGTCAGTACACAGATGTCTCTGTATTTTAACCCCCTGTACAGCCAGCTGAACTCCACGGTGACTCCCGCCCTCCCAGGCATCCCACCCAGAAGAACAGCCATTGTCCACCATGCCCCTGCCACTGCTGATGGCTTCAGGTGGATACCTGGCCCAGGCTGGGCTAATGCCCTCCCTCAACGATTTGATCTCCAGGCCTGGCTGGGTATGTGACCAAAACAGGACACTCAGATCCCTTTCCTTGGAGTCTGTAAAGTAGAAATGAGAGTGGTTCTACTACAGGCTTCACAGATGGGAGATAGTCAGTATGAAGACCAAGGCAGGTGACCAGGAGGAAAGTACACCTCCCAAAAGCAAAACTGCTATTTACACATCCAGACATAATTGCTTGACTAATTACATTGTATTAATTTTGGACTTAAAGATAGTATGGTCAAGGTGTTTTTTTTTTTCTATTTAATACTACTTATCACCATATATATATGTGTATATATATATTTATACATATATATGTGTGTGTATATATATTTATACATATATATATATATTTTTTTTTTGAGAGATGGAGTCTTGCTCTATCACCCAGGCTGGAGTTCAGTGATGTGTTCATAGCTCACTGCAGCCTCAAACTCCTGGGCCTAAGCAATCCTCCCACCTCAGCCACCCGAGTAGCTGACACTAAGGGTGCTTTTTACCATGATGGGCCACTGGGCTACTTTTCTTTGTAGAGATGGACATCTCCCTATGTTGCCCAGGCTAGCCTCAAACTTCTGGCCTCAAGAGATCCTCTGGCCTTGGCCTCCTAAAGCATTGCAATTATGGGTGTGAGCCACTGTGCCCAGCCATAACCTATGATTAAATCAGATAGATGGATAGGTAGATAATAATGAAATGTATATATATGTTTGTGGTTTTTTTGTGTATGTATGTGTTGTGTGTGTATTTGTGTGTGTATGTTTGTGTGTGTGTATTTCAAAGCATTTCCAAGATCCTTAAAGTGAAAGACACCTGAAGATCATCGATTCCAGTCTCCTCCTTGCACAGATGATGAAAGCAAGGACAGTTAAGCTCTTTACGTTTCTGTCTTTCCACGAAAATACAGCTCTTAAGGACGGACATTCCAGTTCCCATGCGTGATGACAGCTCTACACATGTGCATTGCAGAGAGCATGGGGGCCCCAGGTGATCCCGTCCAAGGTGGCCACGTCCAGCTGCAGCCACGTAAACTACAGCCTGAAAGGAAGAGCCAAACACACCCACCTGTGAGGGACACTTTGCCATTCTGTGTTTTTCTATTGTGGATTTTTCAGTTTCAGGGAAGAAGACAACATACTCTGCCCTCGCAGAGTATCTGTCTGCATCACAGCATCACCGAAAGTCCCTAGACAGGTCGGGTGTGGTGGTTCACATCTGTAATCCCAGCACTTTGGGAGGCCAAGGCAGGCAGATCACCTGAGGTCAAGTGTTCGAGACCAGCCTGACCAACAAGATGAAACCCCATCTCTCCTAAAAACACAAAAATTAGCCAGGAATGGTGGCACACACCTGTAATCCCAGCTACTCGAGAGGCTGAGGCATGAGAATCGCTTGAACCCAGGGGGCAGAGATTGCAGTGAGCCAAGACAGCACCACTGTACTCCAGCCTGGGTGATGGGTGACAGGGTGAGACTCCATCTCAAAAAAAAAAAAAAAAAAAAAGAGAAAAAAGGAAGTCCCCAGACAGAAATGTTATTATGTCCAGCTGCTTTTGTGAGCCACAAAAAGGATGGCGATTGCATTGCATACAAAGCCATGGGGGGCGGTGGCATTGCCTAATGTGGGTAGGACTAAAATGACACTGGATTCACTTCTGGCAATTATCTGGAAAGTAACGTTCTGGAGCAGAAATCATGGTCCACCCTCATCACCAAACTTTATCCTTCAGGGCCAGGCACTCCACGACACATGAGATGGATTCCGTACCACCACCTGCGCCCGGCTCTGGCCATCAGAACATGGGCTCTGGCATAGCCATTCATACTGACTCTTAACCCACCAAAGACTAAATAAATTCTAAGATTATTCCAGAGATCTTTTCTCCCTGAGTCTTTTAAATCACTCCTGTGATTATGCTCTGATGTTACCGTAGCTATTACTTAGCTGAGAGACAAAAAGTTACTAAAGGGACATGGTAACTGGCATTGATTATTTAAAGGGTATGAATAGAAAGGAGAAACGAACTTATTCTACCACAGATAGGGCCAGTGGATGTCTTATCCTCTTGTACCTGTGTCAGTGAAGGGTGAAAATTGTAGAAAGACATATTTAGCTCAATAAAAGAAAGACATGTCTGATAGCTTGAAAATTCGGCTAAAACAGAATAGACTCATTTGCATGGAGGCAGGACCATCATTCCTGGAAGTTTCCAACAGAAACCGGGTGACCATCGGTCAGAAGCATGACAGCGGGGGCTCGTGAGGGGATGGAGTATCAGACTGGGTGATCCTTGTGGTGAACATGGGGGTTCTCCACCTGGATCCCCACCTCAGGGTCGAGGCAGTATCCCCCAGATGTTGAAAATATTGCCTGCTAAAAGCTCACAGAATTGACTTGCCTACGTTCACACCGCTTCTCAGGGGATAGCCACTGGCTTGATGACAACCTCCAGTCAAGCCCGAGGATCATTGAAGCTCCAGGATCACCGAGGCCTCAGCTGCAGCTGCATTCAACGCCAGCTTCTTCTGCTCAACCCTGCCTCTTCACGAAGACACCTCCCCAGTTCTTGCCTGCAAACCACTGCATGCCTCGCTCCAAGGAACTCAGGCTAAGGCAGTCCATCAGGCTCCTTTGAGTGTTTATAATTCTACCATTTATTCTCTCTCCAGACAGCGAACACTTACAGATATGTCACAACTTAATTCCCATGCCTTTGCTATCTCGAGTATAGCCAGAGTGTGGTGAGAATCACTGTCAGCCTCCTCTCCCTTCAGCACTCGCGATGTGTCCATCTGTGTTCTCAGTACTATACCAGTGAGGCAGGGAGAGTCCTGGAAATTATGTCCACAGGAGAGACTCCCAGGAGCCAATGTGGATCACAATGCTGAGGACATCCAGACACACTGCAGGGGATGAAGAACGCAGAGATCCCAACGCCGTCCCTCAATAGCTATGCATTAGTCTTGAGATCAGGCTCCCAGAAACCCGGGCCCCCACCTGCACATCCCTGCCCCGGCTCACCCACTACACATCACCTGTGCCCAGGAAGCGGTGAGCCAGTGAAGGAATAAATGAATGCAGAAATGAAGGACCTTTGCGTCCCATGGCCAATCCCTCCAAATACATTCAGCAAACTTCACTCGGAATCCCATAGGCCTCACGCTCTTTAGACATATCCAGGCTGCCCACAATATTGGCCGAAAATGAATCATCCTGAGCCTAAGCAGGTTGTGTGATGCCAGTGTTAATTATCCTCCCTCGGCTTGGTTTCCTGGAGCTGGGGCACACTCTCACTCGGGCACTGTCTCAGGCAAACGGCTTCCAATTGTTTATTTCTTACTTGCCATATAATGTCCTATTCAGGTGTCCCAGGCATGTCATAAAAATGCAGGACGCCAAATTTGAAGGAACTTCAGAAGTTTTCCAGCGTGTTCCCCTCAGACCCACAGCCTCCAGAGCCTCCGCCATCACCATGTAAATGCTAATGAATGACAAGTGCCACAGAGGACTTTCATCTTACCATTTGATGAGGAAGTTGGCTCTGGACATGGGTCAGCTGGGCCATTTAGTTAAAATTTGGTGCTAATGAGAGCAAGATAGAGACTCAGGCCCCTTATGGCCAATTAGCTCTGTGCAAAGAGAAAGACTCAGTTCTGTGGTCAAAAGCTATCCTCTTCAACACAGTTAGCTATTCTAGAAATGTGTGATGTTGACCCCAAAGGGGAATGGAGTGTAAGAGGAGAGGCAGTTCAGCGATGACGTCCTCACAGCCTGGAGGGGCAGCTGACAGCACGTGAGCGATTGTCTGCAGGTTAGGAGATGTCTCACTGTTTAGGAATGACAGAAATAAATCTTTTGAGCTACAGACAAACATTTTGTTTAGTTAGGTCCAGGTATCTCATTGAGGAGAGGCTTTGGAGATCTTGTTTCTAAACCTCTGGCTTTTGGGGAGCCATTGATTTCACTGCTTCGTTAGTTACCCACAAGGTAAACACACTTTTGAATGCAATTTTACTTTTTTTTCACTGATTGCTTAACAAACTTATAATCCCTTAGGTTTAGAAGGATCCATACAGGTGACTTTTTAGGTAACCAATCCAGGCTTACTGTGCCTGGTGACAAGCCATTGCCCCATCTATTTCTCGCCACCTCTGGAAAAAGCAAAGTAGGCGGTCTCCCAGACAGCAATTCATCTGGGGGCACTCTGACAACCAGAAAGCTCCGGGTGATGCTCGGAGCATAAACCAGACACATCACGAGGTAGATTTGTTTGTTCCCTTTTCCTAGAACAAGGATGATTTCTGCCTTGCTTTGACACAATTAATGGAGGTCACTGAAATCATCTTTCCCACTAGGAAGACTGTCACGAGGTGAGTGCACAATGGCCCCTGCACCCAGACAGAAAGAAGCACCATGCCCTAAGACGCCCCCCTAAATGCACATGGCCACCCGGGTCTCCTTCCCTTCTAGACTCTCCTTTTTTTTTTTTTTTTTTTGAAGGCAGTGAACAACTATTTTCATCTTTCACTCTCAATTCTTGGCAAAATATTTAGCATCCAAGAAATATTTTTGGATGAATTAACTAGTAGGTGATCCTCTCACTTTCTCTGCCTAAGCATGTAAAATTATACCAGATAAAAACGTCACGCTCACAGGCCCCTGTCTTCTGTCCTTACCTGGTGAGGCCTCCGCAACACTGCCCCTAAAACTCACGCTAGCACGGTGGACATCACCCACTAACACACACTCACACTAACACGGTAGACGTCAGCCCTAACACACATGGCAGCCCTGAACTCTTTTCTCCTGGCTGTCCAAGGGAATTCCCCAGAGGGATCAAGAGTTCCTCAGACAAAGAGGCAACCTTCGTCTTCCTTGTATGTAAGCACAATTTCCCCCCTGAAAGAACCACAGTGCGTTCATCCTGTCTGTAATACCTTAGGATGGGATGGTATCTGAGTCCCTCTGGAATGAGCTTCAGTTCTAAGGTTTTGAAGGGAAACAAGAAGCAAAGGATCTTGGGCCAAGTATTTATCTTTTATGAAATGAGGTGAAATGAGCCAAACCATTGTGGAATTAACTAGGAATGAAATTTAGTTCTATAATATGATTACTCAAGTTGCAGATAATAACAATTGTGAAGAATTAATCTGAGGATTTGCCCTTTCCTTGGAGTTGTAGCTGAGGGTGGGGGAAAGAAGTTCTTTAGCTCCTGGAATGATGTCATCTCATTCTGCTCCATTCACTCATTCTCAAAGTGGATTAGCACTAGAAGTACAGAGTGGATTGATCTCTTGTCACAAGCCAAAAGATTTAGACTTTGTGTGCAGTAAATATTTATTGAATGAACACATAATTTTAAAAGCTACATGAAATATCACCTCAAAAACCTCTTAATTATTTCATATCTGTGATTCAAAATACAGCATTTGCCATTTGTCCAAAGATATTTAAATCATACCTATTTCTAAAGAATAAAACCTGCCAGCTTTTTTTTCGCTATTTCTGAAAATAAACATTAGTCTACTTCTCAGAACTCAGGTATAGGGTATATTCAATGATCACCGCTGAGTCACAAATGTGGATGCTTAAAATGATTTTCTCTGAGCTCTCAGCAAATACTCAATACGAAGAACCTTGCATTATTATTATCTTTTTTGAATGTGGGTCCCGGGAGTCCCTCACTAAACAAGAGCTTGTTGATTAACCTTGAATCCAGTACATGCTGCCCACTGACACAATCCCACCTCACTCTCCCTCAGTCCCCTTCTCCAGAGATCATCTTGAATGAGAAGAGAAGGCAGGTGACCTTTGCTATTGATGTGTGCACCACAAGCATGAGGTCCCACGGTTGCCACCAGGAATAGCCATCTACTCAGGACCTGATGAAGCGCTGCCCAGACAGCTCTGTAATCCTACACCAGCACACCAATATGCGTGCTAAACTGATCAATAATAAGATTGATACATCTTCTACTTCGGTAAGTTAATCTTCTTATTGATCAGTGTAGCAAACATATTGCTTTTCTTGGGCAGCCTTCCTCTCTAGCTCTTCTCCCCCACCTCAACGTCCTGGTTGTCTGGTGCTATCAAGAAGAGAAATAGAACAACATTTTCTACATTAAATGCTTCCATTACAGCAGGATCATCTTAGTCAGCTGCAAATCTCTCTTAGAGGAGAGGATTTATAACCGGCAGGTGCCCAACTCATTTTTCTATGTGTGTTAGAATCCTGATAATGACCTGGGCTTCTCCTCGCTCACATTTAGCATGTAGATTTAAAATTAATAATAGTTATCCATTGAAGGCAGTGCTTGCCTTTCCCATTACAGCACCTACAGCAAAGATCTGAAAAATTAAGACTACAAACAAAGCCAGCATAAGGCACACACCCAGTCTATTCCTGCTGTACTCTTTTTCCTATTCAAGACAGGGTAAAAGTGGGAGACACGGGAAGCAATTTCAGAGGACAGAAAGGGGCTAGCCACAGGCAGGGAGAATGACGGAGAGAAGAACTTAACAGGAATGCTTATTCTAGGAAGATAATCCAATTCAGGGACCCGATTTCTCCTCCTACGTCCACACTCACACAAGGAGACTCGGGGTCAGACGCTTCACCTCCAGCTCTGTGGCAACTCCCTCTGTGACTTGGCCATTACCGTCACCCGTACCCAGAGGCTACAGAAAAGCTGGGTTTCTAACACAGAGAGCATTGTTGTCAGAGGCGGAAGGGCAATCCGGTGCTGGAGTGCTGTCCAGACACGCAGGGCCCCTGCCAGCCCCTGGCAGGATGGGAGGAGATCTGAGAGGGGGCGTGCAATGGCGCCTTCTAGAAGAGAGGCCTTAGCAGCTCTGAAAGCCACACGGTGTAACGTGGAGCCAGAATGTGGTGTCTCCACCAGAGCGTCCTGCGGGAGGGCGTGCGGGCTTACAGCACAGCGGGAACAGTGCTGCGGCACCTTGGAGCAGCCACCAGCCACAGCCAGCCAGCCACGGGGAGGGAGGGTTGCCAGGTGAGCGAGTCTGCGGGTGAACGAGCACACCAGCCGCTGTGGAGGGAGCAACGTCATTTCTGACCCATGCACCACGTACTGGGGGAGACTACTGTGCACCATGTGTAAGGAAGACTATTCTTGAAGGAGAATTGGGCCTCCTGAACTGGTGGGTTCTGGAAGGCAGCAGCTGGCTCAGGTGTGTGGAGATTCCCGGTGTCAGGAGGTGTGCTGGGGACAGCCAAAGACTGAGATCTTCAGGAACTGCTTCCGTGCACCAACACACAGGTACTCTTTCCTGACTGCCAGCGCCTTTGCCACATCCAGGAAACATCAGTTCCGGAGCACTGGTCGGGGCCCTGCCTGTGCCCATTGCAGACTTTGTCAGTCTGGAGGCCTGCGACACAAGGAAGGCTGTCAAGCTCCTCTTCTCCCGAGCAAGCCCTGGGAGGTTCCTTCCACATGCCACAAAGGAGCCAGCTCAAATGAGAAGGCGATGGGTATAAACCCTTTGGAAAAATCCTTAGTTGGCAAATGAGAGTCACGTGCAGCCTTCCCTCTACCACCTGGACGTCTCCCTGGGCTGGGTCATGCCCGTCAATGAGCTGGCTTTGCTCTGCTGGGGCCCCACGGGAATGCACGCAGTGTTTTGATGGTAGGACGCTGTGTCTTTCAGATCGCTCCCCTGACCTCCACACTACATAGGCTAGGGTCATCAGTGTCTGCTGAATGATGTTTGAATAAAGGCAAGTCAGAGGCTCAGCCCAGGAAAGCCTATCCTTTTCTAGAATCTCCTGGTGGACAACTTTGAGTTCAGCTTGCTTGATTGGCTTTTCTAACACTGAATTTTGATAGCTCTGTGACTACTTTCGGGGAGGCTATTATGGCTCAGGGCTGACTTTCATACTTCATACAGGCACATGTTGCTGAATTTGACCATCACTGAAGTGTCCACGTGGGAGGAAGGGGGTCACCTTCCCCCATGCTGCATGGGCAAAGAAACTGAAGTGCATAGTCTTGCTGGAGACTCCAAGGTATTTGGTGGGCAAACTGGAGGCGAGCTTGGTTCCCCACGCTTTGCCAGGTGTGAGAGACTGAAGAATATTCAGAGTTTTCCTTGAGATCCGAACTCTGGGCGGCCCCTCTGGGGTCAGCGTCTTAGAACGTCGTGAAGATAACCAGCAAGTCCATATCGGGAAAGGCTCTGGAAGGGCACAGCTGGGCCCTCCGTGGCTCATCTCCGGTGGGTGAGACTCTATTCTGTGGCTTATAGGCAAGAAAGGAATCTTGGTTACAAACCCTCCCTATGCCGAGGGCCGTGTAATTAATGTTCTAAAGCAGAGGAAGTGAAATCAAGGGCATTTGATGAAGCGGAGAAAGGCTCACTAGGCTCCAGGTTGCTCTGCTTTCTAAGTGATAAATACAGTCTCCTTTAAGTGGGAAAAATGCTTCACAATATCCATTAGGATGGAGGCCAACAACATGGTTTAAGGACAGAGCTGAGAGCTGCCACTCATAGATGGAAAGGCTTGTCCACTTCACGGCATGTGGCCAAGACCAGCAGTGCTAGCTTTAAAAACTCAAAACTTCCACTTTATTTCAAAATTCCCTTCCACCTTACTCAGCCTGTATGTACAATGATCTTTTCCTTAGCCCAGAATCTGAACAAAACCAGCTCTGAGAACAGGTTTTCTGCCCCTTGTATAGGGTTAGAAGAAAGGTGGACATCAACAAGCAGGAAGATTGAAGGCACCATGGGTGCCTGTGTGGGTCCAGCAATGCCCTGCAACCCTGGGCATCACCAGCTGTGTGCAGGGAACCACAAGCACCCTTCCAGGGAGCTGGGCGCCATCCTTTCTGCCTGGCACTAATGACCTGGCCAGGCTTCTGTTTTCAGGGGAACGAGGCTAAGCCAAGTGGAGAGAGTGAGTTATTTAAAACCGGTTCTGCCCATGGATCCCTGATTTCTTGCAACTGTTTTTGATTGACAGGCAAGTCCCTGTGTCCTTTTTATTTCTGTGAGTTAACTGAGGTTTTTACACTTTTTGCTAAAAAGGAAAAAAATTCCCTTTCTTGGCACTCAGGGAAATCTTTCTGCACAATATTTGCAACCAAGAGCTGGGGCATTGGGCCTTTTCCCTTGTCTTCTGTGGAATACCAATACTTTATTCTGAATCTGAGATATTCCTGATGGACCAAAAGTGAAAAAAATTTTTTAAATGAAGGAAAAAAAAGCTCTCCCTCTACTGTCAAGAGCAAAAGAATTCTCAATATTTCTAGGATGAATGTTGGATGTGATCCTCTTATTTCACCTTTGGATAAATTCTCACTTCAAGCAAAACTCTTTTTCTTTGAAACTGCTGTTATGCAGACACATACCAAAATCACTCAAAAAGAATGTTTTGCCTCAGAATAATGTGATGTATTTAATGTATTCTGACAGTCGTCAATATGCTGGACTCTAAATGCCTTTCATTTCTACATGTTCTTCTTTCTCTATGTTGGCATTGGACATCTGTCCTTAATTAGTACCTACTCTTGGATGGTTTTCTCAGCCAGGAATGATTTTGCCACACACAGTCCCCCACAGGGACATCTCGCAATGTCTGGAGATATTTATTTTGAGTGGTCACCTTTGGGAGAGGGAGATGTTACTGGCATTCAGTGGTCGAATGTAGGGATCCCACCATGCACAGGTCTGCTCCCAAACAATCATCTGACACCAACGTCCATACACCAAGACAAGAAGTCCTCATCAGATAATGAGGACATTTGGCCAAATAGACAACCATACGTTCAATCTGACACAATTTACAGTTTCTAAGCTAATACACATGACTTTGGAATAAGTGGTCAATGCCACGTCTGCATACTATGTACAGTATTTTTAAAAATTTATTCACACATAGGGTAGCTACCCCATGCCCACACTTTATAAGGAGTGTCCCTGAGAGATCTCCTAAGGTGGAGAAGACACAGACACTCCACAATCACAAAGCTAACAGAACATCACTACAGACAGGCCAAAAAGAGGGAGACACATGCAGTAGCCTGAAAAATAGGTACAGGAGGTTTTGCATTAAAAATAGGAAAGAGACAGGGTAACTCAATTTGGAAACAAAAGGCTGAAAACTCAACACGTGTCTTTAGATAGACAGGAGAGAAGACTATTCCTGAAACTGTTCAACAGAACAGAGTTCATGAGAAATAGGGTTGGAGATGCCGTTACTGAAAGAAAAAAAAAAAAGAAAGAAAGAGGAATTTCACTGTGAATGATCCAAATGTAAAGACACTGGTTAGAAAAAAAACAAAACAAAAAACAAACAAACAAACAAAAACAGGCCAGATGTAGTAGTTCACACCTATAATCGCAGCACTTTGGGAAGCAGAGGCGGGTGTTCGAGACCAGCCTGGACAACATGGTGAAACTCTGTCTGTATTAAAAATACATTTTAAAAAAATTAGCCGGGTGTGGTGATGTGTGCCTGTAATCCTAGCTACTGGGGAAGCTGAGGCAGGACAATCGCTTGAGCCTGAGAGGCAGAGATTGCAGTGAGCTGAGGTGGCACCATTGCACTCCAGGCTGCGCAACGAGAGATTCCATCTCAAAAAAAAAGAAAAAAGAAAAAGAAAAAACAGCAACAACAAAATGATACTAAATAAAGAGAAAATGGGCTTCAGATAAATTTGGATTATTGTTGAGATTAATAAATTAGAAAAGCAACCTATAAATTAATTATATTTTGTCTTCCAGTCTAGAGAAAATGCTAGAAATAATAGATTTCAGTTTGTTTGCGTTGAATATGCTAGGGTCACATTTTTGGGTAAAGTATGCCTAAAAAGAGAAAGGTAAATCAAAGTCTCACATTTTCAGAGCAACAAAGGAATCTGTCACCTTTATAATATTTAATATATAAACTTAGCAATATATTGTCTACTGCTTAGAACTGTATTAGCAGAAGGCTGCTGAGTTCATACACAACATTAGCAAGCAAATTCCATTTCTTACAAATAAATACATTATATGAAATAATTGATACACAGTATCGCCCAATCACTGTGACCATCACATGCCTTCAAGTGGAAGGTTATAGTACTCAGAGATGAAGTAAGACAGTCTGGGTAACGGTTGACTACCTTTGGAAGCTTCGTGCTTCTTAAATTTTATTTAAAAAGACAAACCCTAAATAGCTATATATACCCAACTCTTTAACACTGCATTTGCTCACTCTGTTCTTGGAGTCATAAAATGTCAATTTAAAAAAAACTTTCATTTTGTAATTTTCCTCAGAAGGATAACTCAGGATTCTCCAGCAGAAGCTTGAAATGCTACGGGTTGATTCAACCTCCAACCTATGGTAATTGAGTCTGTCTGCCTATGTTTTCAGCTCTGAAAACGAAAAACATGACAACTGGCTGTGTTTTCAGAATGAAAAGGGCAAATCCAACTTTCAGTATAGGAAGTCTGAGTTGTGTGGTGCAGAGGTACTGTAGGAAGGGTGCCCAGGTACCCACGTATAGTGGAACTGATGGTGAGAACTTTGATGGGAGGAGATGGGAGAATAGACTTTCCAGGGGACAGTGGAAAAACAAATGCAAAATCATGAAGGAAAGGAGCAGGGCCTTGAGTCACAAGCATGGGGTCCTTGCGCAGAAATAATCAGGAGGTAAGTTTGTAAGCATTTGGGGATCTTAAAGTGAAATACCTTGCACTAAGCTATCTGTATTTTATCCTGTATGCACTAGGAAAGAAAGAAGGTCCGCAATCAACACCGAGTTCTGAGAAGTTGACTGGGATGATGTTCTACCCAGCTCTCATCTAAAGGAGGAGAGTCCCCAAGCCAGAGGAAGCCGTCAGAGAGCTTCTCAGCTGAGAAGATTCTACGAGGTCCCAAAGGTTAAGGATGCCAGTTACAGAAGCTTAACAGAGCAAAAGGGGAAGGATGTGTCACTTGGCCATGTAGCTGACTGAGCTTAGGGAATAAGAAAGTAAATGCAATGGAGGTGACCAAGGGGTGACAACGCTTCATCATCAAGATGAAGACCATACAGGGGACTGGGGGTCAGAGGGAAACGAGGATAGGGAAGTAAGGAGTGTGCTCGGTTAGGAAAATGTAGATTATTGATGTACCCTTGAGATGTTTAGACAGAGGTGGCCAAAGACAGCTGGAGGATGGCCACTTAATATTAGAATTCAGGGCTGCCACACCATCCAGCTTCAGGAGTTACCTTTCCTCTTGTTTTCCATGTGCCTGGTGCTTCTCAGAGTTCTCTAGTGTGGTGGCCTTGGGAAAGGGTCACTACTAATAGTTTCAAGGAGCCTGAAAATCAGTGCAACACATCTACCTGCATTCAGAAAGAATATCTCCTACTTTTGCTCGACTGATGTGGATCAACATAACAGCCGTGCTGAACTCACATCTCCATACTCCACAGGCCATTCAGACTGTGGTCACACTCCTTCATGATATATTAGCTGCACATACACAGCCACATTTTCAGCTTCAGGACGAATGTGGAATATTCCATCCTGTTTGGACATACCTTGACCTCACAGCTCTGAAAGATTGCCGTTACAACATCCGCCCAGGTGTGTATCACCTACCTATGGGAACCTGAGCCGCGAAGTCCTCTTGAGTGTGGTTAGCTCCTATCAGCTCCATTCCTATCACTCCACATCCCTTTCATGTTTCTTTCCTGGGTGTATTTTCGTGGATATTATTCAAGAAACATAAAATAAAAATTATGGACACAAAATTCTGCAGGCTGTGGTAGGGTAGAAACCAATGCGAATGTAAGTTAGCCACTGTGACTTCCAGAAGACGGTGAGCCAGAGAGTTGGTGCCTTGGTAACCTTCTAGCATGACCCAGTCTGGAGTGCCTGCCTCAACTTCCCTGAACCTTTCTCTTAATACAACCTTTTGAGATAATGTCCCCAATGTCAACATTGTCAGTGTCCCCACCCTTGACACTAGGGACATCGTCTCAACATGCTGTATTTCCCCAGGAAGCAATGCTCAGTACATGCATGAAGGTGAGCTTCCTTCATTTTAACAAGATTCCCCTTCCTGCACTCATCCTCAGGTGCCTTCAGATATCCAGGCATTCACACAAAAAGCTCCACGAGCTCATGATCTATTATTTCTGTCACTTCCATAGGAATCTAAGTATTTTGCTTCATGAATCATATAATATTAGACCCATGGAAACTTTTATTCAAACAAAATTATGCATGGATCCTTATATCCACATATACAATATATGAAACAAAAGTGTAGCTGCTCTTGTTGGCATGAGAGGAGAGGGGTCCCAAGTTCTCAGAACCTCCCCTAAGGCTCCAAGGAAATTCAGGCTCTGCAAACCTTAGATTAACAAACCCTGAGATAGGCAAACCTGATTTTACCAGTGAGAAAAATGAGGCCTGCTATATGTTAGCGGCATTCTCTCTTCTAAATCTGAGCTGTGCCTCTGCCCATGTCACAGTAAATATACGCCTCTTTTAAATGCATATGGAGAAATTTTTCAATTAGTTTCATTCTCAGGCAACTGACAGGGTAGTAAAAGATGTGACTCACAGAATTTTATATCTATTATATGACTTGGCTGCAACACAGCAAATGTATTATGATATTGATTGGCACCAACTAATAAACAGCATTACAGAAATAATGCAACCATAATAAATGAGACTGGAGGCAAACCAAGAGACTTTGAAAATGAATACTTTGGTAATTATGACCCTCTCTATAAATATAATGGGCAAGGTAGAGAAGCAATTTCTAATGTGTGATATTGTTATGATTAATACATAGAACTGCAAGCAATAAATCCAAGGGAATTATGTAAACTATGACATCTTGCTCACAATATGGTGTTAGTTTTACATTAAAATGTTATAAAAATGAATTGTATAACTTTCCCCCCCAAAAATAAGTAATTAGGAAAAGCATGACTAGGATCTTAGTGAATTATATACTACATATACACTGGGATATTGGAAAGTACTCATTGTGCAAATAAAATGTCACATTATTCTCTCTACCATTCTAGTTAAATAAAATCAGAATTATGACTTGTCTTCCAGAGGGGCCAAACTCAAACACCTTTTGCTGAAGTTGAAAGTTGATCAGTCTCTCGGATCTGATATTTCAGAATGTGGCTAGTGTCTTCAAGGTGATCAGGTTTTGTCTGATAAATGAATGAATACTTGTCACCAGCCCTATGAGATGGCCTTGGCCACATGCTGATGTACTCATTCCAGGGACACAGCGGAGCTCTTTGGGTGACGAAGACCATGTAAGATCAGGGTCAGCAAATCACAACTACTCCCTACCTGAGCACCCACTGAGGGCAAACAGATCAAGAGCTACTGCTCCATGAGATGAGATTATGGCTTGGGTCATATCTTCCAAGGTCTACATAATGAAATTTAGAAGACCCTACTAGGGAAAAGTAACACTGACCAGTACGCCAAGGCTTCTCTGAACTATAAATCAATTTATTAATCTCTGGCTAAATCCGTATAATCTTACTCAAAGCCATAGTTTCAAACATGACATGTGCAGACAGCTGTCAGTCTGGAGATCTAGCCATTCCTATGTTCAGCCCTGTATTTTTCTGTCCACCAAGCATCACTAACTAGATAGGCCATAGCATCTTCAACACAACGCCCCTCCCCTCACTACACATAAAGCAGCCGCATGACTAAGCCTCCTATTCTAGTGAATGCTCTGTCACCCTCCGCTCATGCAAGTCATTTTTTTTTTTTTTTTTTTTTTGCCTCTTCTCACCATTGCCATTCTCAGCACTCGAACCAAATAACTTGTCAAGCCTTTCAAAATGGGCCACAAGTGAAATTTTAGGTGCTCTTCCCCTGGAAGTCAGAAAGCCTCCCCAGTCATCACACTACCTGCAGCATCTTCCCCCACAATCCATCCTAATGAGATCCCAGTGGAGCCACAACTTACATGCAATTAACACGTGTGAACTCTACTAAATTCCCTCAGTGCAGACAGCAAGTTACTCTGCTTATTAGAGATAGGAACTTTCTATATAACATGGCTCCTGTCCGTAAGCCAATGACTTTATCTTGTTCTCAAATATGGAAATCTATTATAGGGCTGGAATAAAATTGGTGATGTTGGAGTTTTTTAAGAGACAGTATTTCTATATATCATATTTAATGGAGTAATGAAGAGATTATTAAAAGGTAGTTTTAGCAGTGCACAATTTTACCTACCACACTGAGTTTAAAATCAAACTAATCTGTATAAATTGAGACTCCACCACGAATTTAGTAATACACAAACCTACATATGGTTTCTGCCTCAGAGCATTTAAATCTGCCAGTAAAGAACTACTTATGCTTCCCTTCAGCCACCAAGGCCTTTCCTAAAGGAATAACAATTTGCTTCTCTAAAAGTCTTAATTTATCTCCATTTCGCTGCCCAAATCTTCTTTCTTATCATTTGACTCCATGGCTTGCTCATTCTGTTTCTTCCATCTAAAGTACAGTTTCCTCACCTGATTCATGTATTTTACTTATCTCAAATGTATCCCAAGTTCATTTATTCATAAAGCTTTTCCCCTCTTCCTTTACTGGAATACTTGTAGAATTCTATATCTCTTCCAAGTATTATGCTCTTTTGAACATTTCTGGTCAGTTTCCACATTGACCTGAACCCATCCCACAAAGTGAATGACAAGGTGCAGAGATGCTGGGTTGAGAGTTGGAGGGGAGATTCTTAATGTTTCAGTACACTCTAATATTTTAACAGGTAGAACCTTTGACTCCTTCAAGTTTATATGTGGCCACCTCATGAGCTCTGTTCTTTTGCAAGAATTAATAAACAATGTATCTTGTTGAGCATGGTACATTTAATAGAGATACATCTATGGATTTAATACATTTGTTTTCCCTACAGACTTGGGTCTGTAAGAAATCTTCCGCTTTTCCAGGTTGACTCTAGTACGTCATGAAAGCTAACATCTCACTGTAAGAACTAAAAATAACAAGATAAATGGGAAAATCATTCTGTAAAGATACTTGAGAACTGTGAATGCATCAAGGGTAAGATAACTTCATTCCAGAGAGCAAAGAGTCCTTGCTAGGTGACTCAATGTGCATTGTCTCTTTTCTTCCCTGGGGTCAATGCAGCCCGAGCCAGTGCAAAGGAACCAGGGTAAAGAGAAACTCGCATACATTTGGTATTAATTGAAACAGAGTCGGTGAAACCATTTTTAGAGTTTACTCAGGGCTGAAAACTGCTTGTGTTTTCACCAGCATAGGTTATAATAGAAGGTTATAATGGAAAGGGTACCTGAATAGACTCCTCATAAGTTATCATCTAGCACTAAAACTAACTTAGTATTAGAACAAAAGTTTCTCAAGGCAAACCTTGACAGCACTTTCACAAAGCCTCAAAAAGATCCAACAGACTCAAATAACTGAACTGTGCATCAGAAGCAAATGCAACAATATCTAAAGGAATACAACAAAACACATCAACTAAAAAATAAAATACTTAGCACTCAATAAGTAATTGTCAGACATACGAAGAATGAGAAAAACATGACTACTAACTAGGATAATAGTTAATTCACAAAAACTACTGAGAAATGACAGATATCATGGAACTAGAAGAAAAAGGACATTAAAACAGATGCAAAACAAATACTTCAAATGATCACAAAAATTAAGGAGAACAGAGACATGAAAGAGAGTGATAAAAGTTCTCTAAAAGGCACATGAAATTTCCATAGACAGTAGGAAGTCTGAATTTAAAATACACTAGATTGGAATATCAGCAAAATGTACGTCGCAGAAGAAATGATCATAAACTTGAAGACGTAGCAACAGAAACTATTAAATGTGAAGCAAAGAAATAAAAAAGATTGAAATAAAATGCAAATAGTATTGATAATCTGTGGGACAATATCAAACAGTCTAACATACCTAGAATTGAAATCTCAGAAAACAGGAAGAAATTAAGAAAAAATATGTGAAAATATAGTGGCCAAAATAATACAAATTTGATGCAAACTATAAATCACTGATTCAACACATTTTACAAATCCTAAGAAGATTAAAACTATAAAAAAGCAAGATATCAGAATCAAAATTCTGCTATCAGTAATAGGAAGAAAATCTTAAAAACAGTCAGAGGGAAGAAGACACATGATACAAGGAGGGACAAACAAGAAAATACACAGATTTTCTTCAGAAACAGAGCATGTCAGAGACAGTAGAGACATCCTTTAGTACGGAAAGAAAGAAGAAAA